GTTTTTTTTGCAGAAAAATGACCTTTTTTAACTTAAAAATTAAAGTGTATTTTTCCTATAATTATTCCAAAAAAAAAATTGAATAATAATTTTTTTTTTTAAAAATTGTCATTTTTAAAATTTTTATATAATTTCGCTTTTTTTGAGACCCAACATGACAAACTTTTGAGAAAAATTTTTTTTAATATTATTAGGGACCTGGTAAGTGTTCAAGTGTCTTGTGCTCCCCCTAAATCCAATAAAATTTTGAAAAAATTTAACAGAGTTGCTTGTGAGAGCCAATAGAAAGTTTTAAGATTATGAACAGATCTTTTTTAGAATATAAGGGGCGGCTGGGACACCCTAATGTATATATATATGCATATATCTTTTACTTCTGACTTATAACGTCTGATGATGGACTGCATATAACATCACTGATGATGTGTTATTGAAATAGGGTTAGGTGAAAACTTCATTGTCAACTACATTGTCTTAGGGTGTTAAATTAAGCAAGTATCTAAAAAAACATGTTGTTAATCTGATTTTTCTGTAATTTAATTCACATTTGAGCTAGTAAATAAATGTTAATTGTTAATTGTGCACACTAATGATACGTTAAAGATACATTAATAAATGAATAATTTAATTATTTATAGCCCTGATCATGTGGATAAAAAAATAATGGAGTTTGTAAGCACATTTTTCATGAAGTTGAAAGACATGTCACATGAAGAATACAATGATTATGTAATATTTTATTAAAACTTTTTTTTTTTCTTTTGGTTCTACAACTTTATAGTACTTTTATCTATAATTATAGATTATTATTATTAATAATATATAATATAATGTATAATATAATAAATTATATTATATATAGTACTTTAAAATATATTAGATAAATTCATATGTGAAACATTTGAAGCAAGCTGATCTAAGTTTAAACGACGAATGTAGAAGAAATTGGCGCGAAATATTCAACTCCAATTACATATTTGATCGAAGGCAACGATTGGTAGGTATTGAAATTATGAAAGAGCTAAGTATTTATAATTACTGTATCTTAGAGTCATGATGAAGGTTACATTTTTTTGTTTTAGATTTCAATATCTGAGAAGTTAACAAAAGATGATATTCAAAAATTTGTTAAAGATTTTATGCTTGATGAAGAGGGTGTTAGAGCTCTGTGTATACAAGTATGTTCATTAAACTTAAACCATATATAATTTTTTTTTTGCATTTTATCCAATCTTATTCAGTGGCACACACAGAGAGGAGGGTTGGTTCGAGGTCCAGATTAAACCAGCACCCTCCACCCATTTCTTTAATCTACTCATGCCTCTACCCTTAATTTTTTTTATGTCTCTACCCTCTGCCTCTGCCCTTTTTTTTCATGCCTCTATTTTTTTTTTCATGCCTCTACCCTTTTTTTTCATGCCTCTACTATTGTTTTTTTGTTTATATTCATTGCAATGAACTCTAAAAATTAGTGGTTTTGAAAAATTTTACTCTATAAAGCTAATATGTATAAAGTTACTTCAAAATTATATAATATAAAAATGTTCAAAAATATTTAAGAAAATAAATTTGCATTATTGGAACATCAACATAATGGAATAAATTTTACTCTATAAAGCTAATATGTATATAATATTTTATCAATTTAATATATTTTTTTATTTTTTATTTTCAATGTTTTTTTCAGTTGAACACTTTTAGTTCACAATTTTAAAAAAAAAAAAAAACAGTTCAGGACACATATGTCATTCATTTCTGATTTTTTTCTCTTGTGTTTGAAAACCAATCTTTCTAGCCCTTACATTACATTCAGTTGTTAATGTGCTTTCTCAAAATACAGAAGATATTCCTTAACTTGGCTCTAGTAATACATATTATTTTTTTTCCAATGAAAAATTTTAGAGGTCCTATCCTGATGGAATCGCTCTGACTGTAAATTTTTCTTGTAATTTCTTGAATAATCTTGTAATAATCTTTTTTATAGACAAAAAGTCATTTAAAACTTGTCTTTAACCCTAGCTTGTGCTCAGTTCTTGTTCTCTTTTATGTGTTTCATATCATTTTAGCTTTTGTCTAGTACTTCTACATTAAATTCATCCAATCATCACAATTTTTCCTACTACTTTTATTTTTACACTACTACCTTTGTGCTGACTGGGATTCTTTTGAATTTCATTGTGATGGTCATATGTTTTTTATCAAAGAGCATGTGATGCTGTGGCAAATTCCATGTGGCTTCTTACAAGACTATTATTAGCCATTTTTAGCAATTCTTTTAGTAATCTGAAAGCTGATACTTTTAGCAATCTGAAAACTGCATGGTTTTGTAAACCAAATCTTGAATTATTTTTAGAAACAACTGAGTTGATTTGATTTTAAAATGTCAAATGTTGATCTAATGTCACACTAAGTAATTTAAATGCTTTGTCTATTTTAATTGAATTAAAATGGTATTAGGAAGTGTGATATCATCTACTTATCATACTATGTTTATTGGGTAACTTTAAGGTAACTTCTGAACCATGTTAGAGTTTTGATGTTGCAGTTCATTCTCAATAATTTGATTAATAGAAGGCGTTGTGATTTTTCTTAAATGCCTTTAAAAATGTCAATCAGAAAGGCTATAATGTATTTGATTTCATTTATTAATTTATACTAAAAATTAGTTTCTGAAAGTCTCATAACTTGAGTTACATCAAAATCTGATTTGTTCATGAGAAATATGATATTTTGTAAATATAATATGATATTTTTATAATTGAATTTAGTTGTTTTATTATTAATTATTTCGTTAGATATTCTTTTCTTTCTTTACCTTTCCAGATTGCAGTGATGTTGACTTTTTTCCATCTAGAAGGAAGTTTCCTTTTGACAGTGAACATTTGTAGCACAAATCATAAATTTTCATTCCAACCTGCAGCACCATTCTTTTTGATGTTTTTAAAAACTTTAACAGTAGTGCAAGACTACAGGTTTTAAAATTTTAAGTTATTAATATGCCACATTATTGTACAGCTATAATAGAAATATTACCCAAGAAGGAAACACAAACATCCTTGGATATATATGAGTATATATAAAATATTATATATATATATATATATATATATATATATATATATATATATATATATATATATATATATATATATATATATATATATATATATATATATATATATATATATATATATATATATATGTATATATGTGTGTGTGTATATACCCACTCATATATATATAGAGTATATATATATATATATATATATATATATATATATATATATATATATATATATATATATATACACACACTCATATATATCCAAGGATGAAAAAACAACATTTTTGAAAAATGTATGTTACCACCCCCTTAATATGTGCTATATGATAAAAAAAAAAAACACTGGAATTTTTGAAGAAATCTAACATATTTATTTTTATATAATGATAAATTTTTAAAATTTTCATATAAATTTGCTTCATTTTAAACCTAAAAAAAAATAAAAATAAATAAAACATGATACATTTTTTTTTATATATAATAATTAAAACATGATACACTGTTAAAAAACTTTTTTTTTATTATAATATTAGGAACTGGTTAAATGTTCAAGGGTCTTGAGGGACCTCTAAAAATATTTTTCATTTAAAAGTTTTTTAAATGCAGTTTTTTTTTATCATATAGAACACATTAAGGTTGTGGCATCATATTTTTTTCAAAAATGTTGTTTTTGGTGCTTCCTCCTTGGATAATTTTACTTAGGAGTTCCTTCATCTTAAATTTGAGTGAATGGCTTTTCTTGGTTTTTGCCGTATTTTTTTTGGATCTTTATTATAATTTTCAACTTTTGGAGAGCTTAAAATGTCTATGTTGGAAACTTTAGTCTTCATACTTTCAAAATTTACTTTTTTAAATTATCTCTTGAACACAGGTTTTAATTTATTTTATTTCAAGCCATTTTAATTGTGGCTGTGACAGGAAAGTGATCACTCGCAGCAATATTAGTTACTTCATATTCAGTACATAAAATATTTTTTATCAATTCAATTATGTTTAGACTTATTATGGTTGATTTGGTTACACGATTTGGCTGTCTGAATTTTTGTATTCACCATATCAAATGATTTGAGTTTATGCCCTGGATTTTTATCAGTTTTCATAAGCTCGGTATTAAAATCTTCCATTATAATTAAGAAACCCAATTGAGATACAGATAATTCTTAAATGTATTCCACCAATCATTTTTTACTTGAGAAGCAGTTATATGTTTAGAATTATTATTTGCTTTTTAATTACTTCAAGTTTAAAGAGAGTTTGAGCAATTGTATTATTTAGGTTTAATCTTAAAGGTTTCTTGATCAGGCCTACATTATTCATGTTCATCTTTAGTTCATTTTTCTAATATATCAGGTTTTCTGTCTACTAAATTAATTAATTCAATTTTTGTTCAGTTGAGTTAAATTTTTTTGTTACTGGACAAGGGTCGAATTAAGCGATCGCAACAAATAATAAATCTTTTTTAGTTGATTTTAAAATTAACGCGCGTTTTTCCAGACCATTACTAAACTTTAAATAAAAAATCAGATACTTTTCCAGATATCACAATTCGCGATCGCTTCTTCAACCCTTGCTAGATATTCCTATACCGATTGTAATTTTGTGAAATAATTTTTCCCCTATAGATTATGAGGTTTTCCTTACCGGTTGTAATTAATTGCTGCGTATTTTGCCGTTTCTAATTGAACTCTAGTTGATTCTAGTCATATAAATTTTGTTAACTGTTACGATATCTGGTTTCGTAACAAATAATAATAATAATTATATTTGTAGTTATAATATTGTAATAATTAACAGTTGTATACGTACTAGCCTTGGTTAGTTTAGATTTAATTTAACCCTAGTCTTTTAGAACAAATTATTTCTTTCTGAATTTAGTTTTTTGTTCAAGTTAGAAATGGCATTTGCCAGATTTATAAATTTCTCTTTTTTTTATCAGATTCCGGAAGTCTACTGAAAATTAGGCTCATCTTCCTCTTTGAAATTTCAAAAATTTCATCAGTAGTTATTTTGTATTTAGTTGGTGATAACATATTTGTGTCATTCACTATCTTTGAATTCACGTATTGCTTTATAGTATCTTTTAGTTTAATTTTTTTTTTTTTATTTCCTTCGTAAATTTGGAACATGTGATGTTTTTAATAAAAACATCACATGTTCCAAAAAAAAAAAAAAAAAAAATATATTTTTTTTTTTTTTTTTTTTTTTTTTTTTTACCTTTACCTCTGTTATCTTTTCCATTAACATTTTTATTATAACTCCAGATTTCCTTCCATAACAAGTTTCATGATTCTAGCTGAGCTGTATTTGAAATTAATTTTATAATTTTTATAAATCTCCGAACTTTTACACTTGTTACATTCAATTGAATTCATGTTCATTTTTATCAAGACCTTTCTGTTCATTTTTTCTATGCTTTTGCTTCAGCTTACTATAGAATATTATACTATTTAAGTTAACGGGAAATATAAATATGGTAGAACATTAATCAATAAAGGATCTTCCATAATTCGTACAGGGTGAGTGGTGGCGGGTGTTAAAGACAGCGAGTACGAGCGAGTATTTATATAAAGATTTTTTCTAGAGATTACTTAAAGACTATTGATTTTCAAATTTTTCTACATTTGCTGGCTTAAACTGGCTTCTGAACCAGAACATCCCCCCCCCCTCAATTTCTCTCCCTATTGAAATTTATGTGTGCGCCACATCTTGTTTATGTTTATAAAACATTTTATCGTTGTTTAATTATTATTTCATTGCAAGGTGGTCGGACATGCGGATAAAGAAATTATTGAAAATGAAAGTTCTGAAGAAGAGTTTTATTCAGATACAAGTGATTTTTCTAGTAGTGAGTGTGAAAGCGAACAATCTGAAGAATGTGAAAGCGAACAATCAGGCGAAAGTGAAAAATCTCATCAATCTTATATAAAAGAATATCTGGATTTTGAATTAAAATTAATTCCGTCAGAGTGCGAACGTTACCAAAGGTGTATAAAAAATATAGACATTTTTAAAAATAGTTACAGGTTATTTTCTGTATCGACAGCTACTGAAGATATATTTTAGTAATATATTTTTAAACATGTGTATTTTTTAAACCGCTTGTCTTTAACTATTTTCAACAAAATAAAAATAAAAACAGAAATGGAAGGGATTAATCTAATTATTAAAACTTGGACCTACTCGATCTACATAAGGACAGATGTGTAAAATACGCGACTTTAAAGGGCAATAAAAATTTGGTAAGTAAAGTGTCTTAAGCATTTTAACTATGAGAATATGCCTAATTCGCCATTGAAAAAGTGATAAAACTGAAAAACTGGATCGCATTTTTTTTTGATTTGGCATTAGGCCAAACCAGGCTGCTCCGCTATTTGTGAACTAAATGAAGTGAAATTTTTGTAATTATTTAGAAAAAAGGTCAACGCATATTTTAATATATTTCATATTTATTTTTGTAGTCTAATTTTACATTGTAAATCCTTGATGTTTTTTTATGAATCATCATATCATTTATCAAAATACCCTTACTAGAAGTTGAAGTAAATCTGATGTGCACATACTATAAGTCTCCTTAAACACACAAGGTATTGCTGTGAATATACAAGTTTTTGAAGCGTTGCAGCGCGTAGAGTAACAACATCTTTGTTACCCTGAGTTCGCATTGTAAAGTTTTGCACATCACAAAGTAGTTTTATTGAATTCTGATTGGTTCGAAACACTTATTCTCTTATTTCGCTTAAAAACATCGTAACTTTATAACAAATAGTTTAAAAAGGAACTAATTCGTTGGCTTTACTGAATAACCTATAGATTTTGATTTCAGTTTATAGCTTATTATATTGTTCATATAAAGAAATTGTTAAATAAAAGTATCCTTAAACATTAGGATGTATGAATCTCTAACTTGAAAATAGAGACATGTCCTGCAAAAATGCATATAACATGCCCCCTTTTTCAAGTTAGCAATTCATATCATATTTTAGTCAAAATTTTGACTAGCACGCTTAAATTCCAATATATTTAGGTACGGGGAATTCAGTTTTGATAAAAATTTTGTAAAATAATGTTTAGCTACCGGGAAACGGGTTTTAAAATTACGGTTTTATTAAAAATTGTGCGGCCGTGGCGCAGTGGTTAGAGCGCTTGCTTTATAAACAGGAGATCCAGATTCGAAACGAGCTTTGGACATATTTTCGCGCCACGGTAAGGAAGGAGGCGTGGACTTCCTGGTTAAATACACTTCCGCGGTGTTCTGTGACAAGACTTGTTGGGGCACCTAAATAACAAAAAAAAGTTTTAGTTTTATTATAATTGTCAAGATATATTACTATTACTGTTTATGTAAACATAAAAAAGCCTTTTTTTTAAACATATTATGCATCCAAAGTTTTATAAAGTTTAGCAAAAAGACAATATTGTCTTACCCCCCCCCCTCTTCCTAAATAAGAACACACAACCTTTGTTCAAATAGTGGGAATGCCATAGTTGCAAAAACAATTTTACAAAGTTAATAAAAACAACTTATAAATTTACAAAAAAAATCACTGGTTTAATGTTTGCAATAGAATGTTTTTATTTTTTAAAACTACTTTCAAGAAACAAAAAATAATTAGCTATTCAAAATGTTTATGATTTAAATCAGGGTTGTCCAACGCGTGGCCCTCGTTGTCTTTTGCCATGGCCCGCGTTTTCAATACCTAATTTTTAAAATCAAATGAATATTATATTTTTAAAACTATTTTTTCTGTAGCTCAGGATTAGGGCAGTTTTTTAATATAATTTTTAAAATCGGTTTTTTTTTAATTTATTGCAAAACGGTTTAAACTACCGCCTTATTATCAATAAAACTGGTTAAAACGGTATCGACTATTTGGTTAGCGGAACTCTAATTATATTTAAATGATTTTTTTTTAACGAAGTGTCTGCAAGTACGGCGACCGTACGAATATCTATAGTACTATTGGTCCGGCGATCGTATCAAATGATCGACGTAAAACCAACTTAAATACTGTTTATACGTGTGACGCGTCGTATTAATTCTAATGATACCAGCAGATATGCATGTGGGTGATCAATTCACAACATTTAAAGAAATAAAGGATACTTTGGATAAATATATGAAAGAATATATAATAAAGACTATAAAAATATAAAAGATAAATGTGTTAATAACACTCAAATTATATTACAGAAAAGTTATGAATGTGACTACAACAAAAATAATAAAGTAAAGCAAAATTGTTCAAGTAATCTACGCAATAATATACATACATTTTATATATTTCCTTTTCTATCAAACCAACATTTCTACCAGTTTTTTTTATCAATATCAATCATTCTTCAGTAACCATAAATCAGGTTTTATTTTTCTTTAACTAACTAAGGTTTTAAGTTTCTTAAACCAGCTCTAGCTTGGTGAAAAAAAAAATTTTAACATTAAACTAATTTAATGGTTAATGTTTGATGTAAACGATGTTAATATATTATAATCATTATGTTATTTGTAGTGTAACAACATCCCATACGAAACTTTATTTATTTAACAAAAGAATTAATTGCAATAATTTATTTAGAAATTATTTAAAAAACATAAATTTCTTTTTATAAATATTAATTTTCAAAACAGGACTTCTAGAAGATCATGAGGATCTTGTCATGAAGCCCTTTACAATATATGGTTAACTTTTAATAAAAATACAATGTCTGTAGTGAAATAATAATACACCTCTATGCAAAAATATTTAAAAACCAAGATAAAATGTTAAAAAACCAAGATAAAATTTTAAACCAAATAATATACAAAATAAAACAACAACAAAAACAAAACAAAAAAAAGGCAATTAAAAATAAATCAAGATATTTTCAATTAAAAATATAATTTTTTTAAGTTTCTGTTTGAATGAAGCAAAAGTCAGTTGGGTTGAAAAGTCAAAACATGGTAAGACTATTTTGTTCCAGAGATAAGGAGCTCGGTAAAAAACAAAAAACTGGTCTTTGCTTTTACGACAAAAAGGGGCAATAAGACTGTTATTAATTCAAAAACTATATTTGTTTTTAGGTTTCATACAATGAAAATTTTGTAATACATTTGGCGACAAATTTTCTCTACATTTAAACACGAAACATAAAATATTAAAGACATTTAGTTGATATACATTTAAAATATTCATTTCTTTAAAAAGTTGTTTCGTGTGAAAAAACCGATTTTTAAAATTTATTACGCGAGTTAAGTGTTTCTGATTAAGGTAAAGAGATTTTAGCTTTGTTCTGTGAATGCTTCCCCATATAATATTCGCGTAGTTTATGTGACAATTCATAAATGAATAATATAATTGTGTTAACTGGTGTTTACCTTATATATTTCTACTGGTGTTTACTTAATATATTTCTACTTATTAAATCTACTTTATTTCTTATTATCTTCTATTACAATTAAAAAGTTTATTAATTGGTATGTTTAATTAATTACAAATGGAAAAAAAATTAAAAGTATTTAATTTGTTGAGAAAATAGAATTAGCCTCATTTACGTTATATTGAGTACTTAAATCTACTCAACGGTTTACTTTATATAATTTGAACACTAAGAAATAACTACTATGTGAGTTTCAATAATATATTAAATAGTAAGAAGAGTTGTAAGTTAGTAAGGTTAATATACAACTAGCATAAGAGAGCATGGCTTAAGACGCAATGCACTGCGGGAAATAGTTATAATCAATAGATTATTTGCGGGAAGCCAAATAGGCTTCAACACGTTATATACAAGAAAGTACAGAAGATATATAGTATACCTACAGTCAGTGTTGGATCAATTCACTTTTAAAATGAATTCAAATCAAATTCAAATTCACTTAGAATAAAACAAATTGAATTCAAATTCAAATTCGTTGAAAATAGAATGAATTCAATTCAAATTCAAATTCATTGACACTAATTTCCATTCAATTCAAATTCAAAAATTTATTACATTAACATTTATTTGTGACATGACAGTCAGGAAAATAGAACATAGTCCTGTCAACTTAATAATGCATCGTTCTTACTTTTTAGTTCATACTAGTATTAATATCCATTTGATTTTAACAACAACAGTTTCTCAAATGTAAGGTCATTTAGTCTATTACGCCGACTACTTGCGATTAGTCCCGCACAACTGAACAAGCGCTCAACAGCTGCTGATGAAGGCAACGATGTGTTATATCTCACAAACGCGGCCTGTACAGCTGGATACGTCTGGAGGGATGATAGCGTCACAGTGACGTCGGACAGATAAGTCATTGCTTGGAGCCTCAGGCTGTTTGTGGTGTCAGAGTCTGCAGATGAAGAAAGTGTTAGGTTATCTTCATCGTAGCCATAGTCGTTATCATCTGAAAGTTCAGTTAGTGACTTGTTTGCCTGTGCCGTGGTTGAGTTGTTCGGCGTGTTCATTCTGTTCAAAACATAATAAAACAAGTACAGTATAATACAAATAATAAATAATATAATAATAATATAATATAATAAATTGAATAATACAAATAAAGCAGAGTAATGCAAGTCATATCAAAATACAAGTACTGTACAAATCATAATACAAGTGCTGTTGATGTGTTCATAGTAAATTAGATAAATGACAAATATTAAAAACACTTTACGTATATGCAGAGAAATATGAGTGTACTTGCACTAACCTGCTAATGCCATCGACAAAGTACTGACTAAATTCATCTCGTCTCTCTGGCGGCACCCACTTGAGTTTGTAAAGCGGGTGAGAGATTGCGGCCAGTACTGCTTCTTTCACCAAAGGATCACAGGTGTTCTGCAAATCTAGTGCCAACAAATCCTTGAATCTCTTCTCGATCCCTCTCAGCTGAGCATTAGCCAGTGGACTGCAAAACTGTAGACAGTCAGTAAGCATCCGCTTCAAACGGTTTCTTAGCTGAATTAATTTTGGCAGCAGCATACCTAAGAAGCTTTTAAGATCTCCTTGCAGGCAATCCAATGTTGACGCTAGCGGCTCCATCGTCTGGAAGTATTCCTTCAAAAATTCAATGTCGCATTTGTTTAACTTTGGCAGACTTAGTTCATCGAAAATCT